ATATATATATATATATATATATATCTGGCAGATTGCTTTTTCCCACTGTGTCATTCCCCCTACCTACCATCCTCTGGATGTATATTCCCGGTGGGTCTGGTGTTGGCTGTAGATGCCCCAGTTGAGGGCATGATGGCCTTCCTGCCTATATATATATATATTTTGCAGTTTGCCCCGCAAGCTGAAATGTCCCTCCTATCTACCATTCTCCAGATTTGTTTCCCGGGGGGTCAGGTGTTGGTTTGAGATGGTCCAGCTAAGTAAGTCCTCATATGTGATCTGGCTGGTATCTCTCTTCCTACCTAAGAAAAATGCCCAATGCCACCAGATTTTGGACTGCAGATGCACCCCAAGTTTGTAGTCCCTCTTCCTACCATCTGTTGGAGGTCTGTTCCTGACAAATCTGGTATTGGTTGTAACTGGACGCAGCACATGTATTCCCACTTGTGTACATTTGGGTATCCTCCTCCCACCATGGACTGGAAGAACCATACTCAATGCTGCCAGGTTTTGGACCGGAGATGTTATCCCACCGGGGCTTTCCACCTTCCTACCATCTGCTGGATGTCGATTTGTGGTGGATAAGGTGTTGGTTGGGTTGAAAATGTGCGCAAGTGGAGATGGATTTTGGTATGGAAGCTTGTCTTCCCTACCAATTCCCTTTTTGAGGTGAAGAGGAATTTGATCCTCTGCCTACAGCAAAACTGGTATACAATTCCATATACTGCCAGGTGTTGGATGAGGTCGAACCACCACTACAGTCTGTCACACTCTAGCTACTCAACACCCAGGGGTCCCATTAATAAGTAATACGTATGATGGGATTCCTTCATTTTTTACACCTTTTATGTTTGCGACACAGTTATAAAAGAGCAAAGAGTATACCTGGATCAGATGTGGTATGGTCTCCCAGTGAGGTGTGCTGTTTTCTTTTTTGGTTCCACATCTCATAGTCTCTCTTTGGGTGCTTCCTAAAGGGGGATCATTTTTTCACTAGCCCTCCCTAAGTTCAATGTGGGATTCTAGCTATTTTGTGAGTGGAGGTAAGATATTGTGTCAGAAGTTAACATTTTCCAAAATAAAAATGTATTTCCGATAGATACTTACTTCTTCTCACATTTAATGATGGATTCAGCACTTCTTCATATTTTTTCAGGAATGAAGTGCTTCAGTTGCACAACACTACTAATTTTGCACCATTTTCTTTTTCTTCTTTCTCTCAATTCAACCAATCAGTGAGCATGTTTAGACTCAAATGGGACCAGATGCAGTTCGTTGAGGCAAATACTATCAAGTAGTTGTTGATATCATGTGAATGTTAGCATGCACTCATTGCTGTAAAAGTAAATAAATATACATTTCATGATATAAGCAGTAGTGAAGTTAGGTTAGGCACACCTGGCTCCTAGATCTGAAAATATTTGTCAATGTGTGCTATAAGATAAACCTTCCATCTTAAGATTCATTCTAGTAGTCCTACTAAAAATCCTTTCACATCAGTTACTATTCTTTTTGGTAAGGAGACTAAAACTGTGCTGTATTCTAGATGAGGCCTAACTAGTGATTTGTTTACAGCAGTTATATGTTAAATTGTAATCAGTCTGACTGGATACCATTAATAATAACTTTTGCTTTCTTCCATCCAACCATCCTATAATTAATTTAAATAGTGTTTCACAACTGATGTGATTCTCTTAGCTAATATTTTCTGTGACATCTTATCAAAAGCTTTTTCAAAAACATAATTACACCAAGGCTACCAGCTCTACTGTCCAGATAATAAGAAAACTGATTAGTAAAGCAAGATTTCCCTTTAGTGAATCTGTTTTGACCTTCTGTTATTATGATATCATATTTCATTAAATGACTTTATAATGCTGTTTTTATCAGGATCTAGAACAATAAAAATTACAATGTCATTACGTATCAGAATTTTAATTTGGAAGCTTTTGTCACTACATGTATCTTAATTAGGCTAATATATAATGTTCTGTGTAACATTAAAGTAATACATCGTGCCCATTTTGTTTTTATTTCAGAAAGTTTCATCTTCTGTAGAACCATTAGCCTGTTGAACTTCCATATTACATTATGTTGATCTATGTTTTACCATTTAAAGTTTTGATTTATGTACATATAGATAGTTATAACTGTTAATCTTAACATTGATGACATATAATATTTATCACATTTTTATAAAGTGTGTGAAAGCTAGTATCTGAATAAAATTGTGTACTAAACATTATTTGGGAAAGTGTATATGAAACCTTGATTTGTTTATTTTTTAACAAGAAGTTTTAAAAAACAATTATTTTACAGGTAGTGATAATTGTCAGTCTACTTATAAAAGCTAAGGTAATAGTACCCTGATTTACATTATCACATTTATTACATTATAAGATATTGAAACAGTTTCGGAATTAAATTTTTGCTTTTTAAAATACTATACCGATAAAAGTTATTTCTTTGTAAGCCTAATGTTACACCATTAAGTCTTATATTCAAAATGATAGGCTTAAGGCACTGATTGTTTTGATGTCGTAGGTTATAAGTATTTATAATTCTTTATGGTACTGTTCAGATAGTTTAAGTTGTGTATAAATGTAAGGAGATTGATTAACTTGCAGTATTTTCAATAGCTGTACCAGTAATTGTACTGTAGCCTTATAAGTTATAGTCTTGTTAAGAAAATGTGAAGTGGGTATATAATTAATTGTAGTTTTGGATTTCACAAATAAGCTAATAAACTGAAATTAAGCTCTTAAAATGAATATTATTATATACTGTATTGCATATATATAAGATAAATAAAGAGTCATTGTTAAAGTGGCCAGTAAAGAGGCTATTTGAGTAGTATGTGTTGAAAATAATGGTGTAGGGAGGATAAAATCAGATGAGCTATTTGAAAAACACAGTAAATTTATAAATGTTTTAAGTCTATAGGTCAATCAAAGGTAGCATTAATTTTATATTAGACTAATCAACCTATGGAATTGTTTGTCTTCAGATATGATACAAACTCAACATGAAAATAACTTAAAAAAATGATATTGAGTAAGTATTTGAGATCAGTCTGTGGATATAAAGAGACAAACTAATTAAGCTACTAGTTTTAGTTGGTTGGTTGGTTTCTCTTGTTCTTAGTGTTTAAAGTTCAGAATTTTTACTTATTATTTCTGAAATGGTATTTGCTTGTTTTTTAAATTTCTTTATCCTTAGCCTGTGGAAGATAAAGCTTTGTCAAAGATATGCACTGTATGTGGCAACAAAAAAATGTAAAAGACATCAGAATGACCTGAGTATCTATTTGGTGAAGCCATGGACTGAGTTGCTAGTTCCACAAGAAATAGATGAGGCCATAGAGCAGGTGAGAGCAGGAAGGTGGGATGTTTTGTTGGTGAAATTATCCTACAAGGCTAGTAATGGGTGTTATTTTAGGCTTTAAAATATGATAAATAATAATTGCAGTATTAAATAAACCTGTAAACTAAACATATTTTTATTCATAGCTTCTTGGTAGCATGTTCTGTTATCCTGATATGGTTGGTTTTATACTTAGCAGCAGTGTTCCATGATAAATATTTCAATGTCCAAGTACATGCAAGTGTAAACTAGATAGTAGTATAAAATATATATATGTATGTAAGTGGCAAAAGTATCATTTTTTGTTTAACAGTGTTAGAAATTTGTTCTCTGTGGACAAAAACAGCAGTCTCTTCACTAAGGGAACTGAAATCAATCATAATATAATAGTGTAGGCCATTGAAAACTTCAGTTTGCTTAATTAATCATCATCGTAGTGCAAATGAATTTGAGATACATCACTACAATTCTTGCTAATTCAGAAGTTAAGTAAGCAGTGAGGTTTGATTTGTTTATTCCTTTTACTGCATTCCACTTAATAATATAAAAAGAGAGCTCTGACACAAGAAAACTTTTTTCTGTGCTACAACAGAAATTGATACTGTGCACTTGTAGTAGGTTGAAAACCTTAATATGCTGGATCTTGAAATGGTCAATTGCTGTTGAGTTTCTGATTCATTTGTATAAAGTGAATCATTGAATGTATCCACTGTGAAAATTGCTATTATTATCAAATTATCTTGACATCAGAAGTCTCATTATTCCATGTCAATCACCAAAATTTGTTGGTAAGATAAAGTTTAATAAATACAGTATGTATCGTATAAGAAATTCATTAAAAATTTAATAACTTGTTACATATAACTTTAATGTAAAAATTTCTATACAGTACATTGCCTCCTCTCACATAAATAGATATTCTTGTTCAGTGCTGCCTTCTATATGCAAATATTTTTTTATGCATGCCACAAGCCTTCTATCTAAAAACTGAGTAAAAAGTTACTAGATACATTCTAGTTTTAGCTTTAAAAAGTCTTATAATTTGATTGATTTTTCTGTTTTTTTATATTGTGAATTTCTCAAATTTTTCATCCTAGAATTTAGTTTTTTATTCTTAATAATAAATTTCCAGTCTATATATACAGTCAGTTTGAACCTATTTCTTTTATTTGGCTGATTGTAGTAGTCACTGCTTCTGACTGTAAATCATAAAAAACATGGCAAAAACTAACAAAGATTAATTGGTAATGTATGACCTGCCATGTTACAATAACATCAGATTAGAGTACAGTACAGTATTTTTGCCACCTTTATCCATTGGAGACAGATCTGATTGGGTGGTGCTAGAGTGTGAATTAGATTCACTGTCCTTGGTAGCTGGATTAGCTCCTGAAATGCTAGTAATCAGGCAGTTTTCAAGTCAAAAGAACATAGTTCAGAACTTCAGTCACCAAAATCAGGTTAAAAGCTTTGGCCTAGCTGATTACAACTAAAGTTCACTAGAAAGATTTAGGACTGGACTTAGGCAGTAAAACAAGAGTATGCCATGTATTTTAACAGTGATACATGCTCTTTACCGCAAGATGTGCATTGCTACTGACATGCTAGCTCAACCAAGATTTCTCAAAGGATGACATTTTTGTTCACTGTGCTTTCTAATAGGCCATTGTTTAGTGATGACAATTCACACTAGTTAGCATGGTTACCATCTCACTGTATGATACCTTACACCATTTTCTGGTTGGCATAGTAAAACTCCAGGATCAAAGGGTGTGTGAAATTGCTATTTTGGGACCTTTAATTAAATGAAGCTTGGTTGGTGTTCTTACAGGCATGGTCAAATAGTACAAGACTGATGTTGGGATACTAACTTGCCTCTGTAACAGTGGATAGAACTAACAACATATCTCGCGTACTTGCATTCCTTTGGCTCTAAAAATTGAACACATTCTTTACCATCATTAAAACAGTGATACACCATATAATCTCCCTTCATGTTGTCTGCACTAATTACAGTTGTTTTTTCTCTTATCAGTGAATACCCATGAATTACCTTTCTAAACTGAACCCATTCTTCACTTAAGGTGTCCCATGTTCTCCCTTGCTGTGCTGTTAGTTAAAACAGCAGTTTCACCTGGCTTTGTTTCTCAGTATTCTAACCAAATTTCTTTATTGTCTAGTGATTGTGTTCATCTTGTGTGTATATATGAAATAATAACGTCTGTTCAAAGCAAGCTACTTACATAGATCATAACAAAGGATCAGTCTGGCAATGTGTATAGATAATTAAATATACTGTTCTTACATTCTTATTATAGATATTAGAATGCATTATTTCATTAGTTGAGTACCATATCTGTTGGAAATATATTTGATCAAAATCGCATTAATATATCACAAAGTTCAGTCAGCTTTGTAGATTTAGGCTAATCCTACATATGTATATGTAGTAACAAATTCTCAGTGTATAATATACTGGGATGTTCACTGATGGAAGCATTTATTAATTTTGCATAACATATGTATATTTATATACACACACACACACACACACACCTGACTCACCTGTTTCTACTGTAGGGTTTAATTAATATTTTTTCATTTTGCTTAAAGTCTCTACTTTAGTTTAAACAATGACTTCTCTCAGGTATTGCTGTAACCTTAACTAATCTAAAAAGGTACACATTCTAATAGACTTACCTGTTGGGTTGAATTGTTGTCTACTCTAGGTGTAAACTGAGGAGCCTGTATATATGTACATTTGTGTAGTATTCTATTCCGTACTTTACTACTATATGCTCTTTTACTTCTTATCACTGGTTCTGTGTTTTTTTTTAACTTCAGTTGTGTTTTTCTCTTTATTCTCACTAGCCTGTTTTTCTCACACAACTTAAACCTGCTGCCATTCCACTTTTTCTGTTTTGTGTATTACTAGAAAGAGTAACAGTGCTACTGGCTTTGACTTCTGGTCTTTCTGCTATGAACACTAAACGTGTAGTCATATGCTAACTCAGGCATCTGGCCATAGAGCTGTGTTGGCTCTGGTTGGTGATGAGTTTTTATATTAGCAAATAAATTTGAAGTTGAACTTAAGACCTCTATTTTTATAAATAGCTTATCTCTGGTAATGGATATACCTGTGTTGTAAATTCATAGGAAATTTTGGCCCAGAATATCATCTGTCTCCAAATCTATCAGCTTACAGACATAAAACAAATATTCAAGTTTTAAATCTCAAACTTCTACTTAAACACAATGCTTTCCTAATGTTTTATCTGTTTGTCCTGTAATAGAAGTTAATATACTTTGTGAAACTTCCTTTCAAGCATTATTTACTAACATTCAATGTTTTTATGAAGTTTGAATGTAACACTGAAGATCTGCTAAACTTGTTTTGCCATCTGCTTTACAAACTTCTTTCCGATATTCAGCCCTGTGTATTTTGTTAAATTTCCTTTTTTTTGTTGGGCATATACATGCATGTGCTAAATGTTCCTGTAGTCCATGGTTAAAACATCCTACTTGTTTACTGTGTTCTTTTTGCTATCCTTTCAAGCAATCTCTAGCAGTATGTCCCCAAAAGCCACTTTGAAAACATTTAACATTTCGTTTTCCTGCACTACTCTCTTGTTCCTACTTGGCCAATTTAATTTGTGTTTTAACCGCTGAATGTACCTGTAAATGCATAGGATCATATACTTTCCCTTCTCTCATAGTTTTATTAACCCTTTATCAAAAGCCTAACACTCCAAAAGTGACATAACTAAATTTAACTCTTTTATCATTTTCATCCTTATATTTATGCATGCTAGACATCTCCATCCGTACATTTACACCAATTACACTAATGGAAAAACCCCTTCCATGGATTTACATTCAATCTAATTAAGTAGCTTGTTAGACCCTTTTCATAATTTCACTTTAATATGTCTTGTTTCATTACTTCATTTGGTGTGCATAAGCTTGTCTTAATCTGTTACCTAATTCTTGTAACTTCTGCTAAAATAATGGATAGATTCACATATTTGTTGAGAAGACATACTTATTTGTGTCAAGATTAAATTAGGAGTTTCTTGTCTTTTGTTAATAACCTGTCTCATAGTAACCTAAAATTTTGAATTAGCCTAAACTCATGCCCTAAGAAACGTTTTTTGCTTCACCTGCAGTTTGTAATCTTTGTATATCAGGCATTTGAACATCTACTTAGCTTATCATAAAACTAGGGAATTGTGTTTATAAGTGTTGTGGAGCTAGCAGTCGCCCTTGTGCAGTGGTTTCAGCATTTGCATCGGATACTCAGTTTATTTTTTCTTGTTGGCTGAATCTTTAATCCTGAAGACATTGCACCAATTTGTAACAGGTTATTTTATTGTTGAGTAGCAAACCTGTTACAAGCAGTATGTTTTATAAAATACCAACCCAGTCATTAATTTTTTACACAGGTTGCTAACTAAGAAAGATTACATGAAAAATAAGGAGGCAGAGCCAGAATTCACAAAAAAACAAAAAAAATATTTATTGTGGTAACAACATCAAAACAGAATACTTTGCTTTCAGTGGTAAGGATATAAGAAATTATTGTTTACCATTATACAAAACCCTCTTCCAATGTAACTTCCTCTGCTTGTCTACATTGATATTTTAACTTATCTCCCATTTTGAAGGAAAATCTATTAATAATACAAAAGACAGTTTTCAATCATACAGACCACAGTGAAGAGTGCTGCTTGTTCAGGTTGGGTGTAGGCATAAGGTCCTGGCTTGATGGGATAACTTGTGGACATACTTATCACCAATTATCTAGATTTAGTGTCAGCTTTATTATTATACAAGTCTATGCAAGCAGTGCTGGTTAATATAGAAAAAGGCTTTGTTTTAATGATTTAACATGATGCTTTCTGGTATGTCCATAGAATTTTTCACAAGAACTTGTACTTTACCTACTTTACTTTTTCCTTCCACATCTGTCATTAGCCCTTGAATGCTAGCATGGGGTCACTATGAACCCATAAAAGCTAAACCTGTATACTAAACTAACCATGCTGACATTCTGTGGTTAAGCATTGTGGGGAGATACAGTTGCTGTTGCCAGTGGGAGTAGTAACATATAGGAACACTGACAGTTAAGTCTGTCACCCACTTGATCCTTCATCAGGTTAGTAATTAATGTTGTCTAAGTTGTTTCAGTCTCTTCTTATAATAAACTTTGTCGATTAATGACTCTATCAACATTTCCTTTTCTTTGTAACCTAAGCCTAAGATGCTGACCATTTATCACTCCTTAGTGTGTATTAGTACCTCATTGGTTATGATAACTCATACTCAGATATTGATTTTAGAAGTACTTTTCACCTAACAACTGGTAAAAGTGGTCATTAAATTGTTGCTTGAAAATAACTGCTAGTCTTTTGCTGTTCTCAAGCCAGCTATTCATTATCTCAATGTTTCTTCAGTTTGCTAATTATTTCCTTGACCACACTTTTCTCACAATAAATATGAAATGTTTCAGGTTGAAGACTTTGATATAATGGCTATTGTTTATTTATGTAAGATTTAAGCATAATTTTTTAAACTTGAGTATTTCATTGGATATCACTGAATAAAAGTGCAGTACAGCTTCTTTCATTCATATTATAAGCATACCTTGCTTGTAGCTATAAAGAACAGCATAATTTATCATATGAAGCTAGTAATGTATCATGTTTTACATTATAACAGATTGTTTATTTGGAGAGGCTAAAAAGAGCTGGGTAAAGTTATTCTTCTTATAACTCATGCCATGTTCTTTTAGTTGAGTACATGATATATTGAAATGATTTTGAAGTCTCACCACATCATTAAAGTACATGTTTCCATGTCTAGTCATACTCTCTGTGACTATTGTGCATCTTGACAGTAGCCCTTTAGCATAGTTTCCATTGCAAAAGGCCCTAGTATAAGACTGTCATGCTTAAAGTGCACTACTCTTTCCTTTATGCCTTCCATAATCCACCTAGTACACAAAGATGGTGGTTTCTTAGCACCTGTTACAAAGGTCAGATCAGACAGAAAGTCATAGGTCCTTTGTCACGTGACTTTATCAGCATGTCTTTGTATGGAATAGCATGAATACCCATTTCTTTCTGCAGCTGCTCGATTTATTTGAGAGTTGAATGAATATGTCAGAAAAACAATGTGTACACGTGACTTGTTTCTCTCTTACAGAAGAAAGTCCTTCTTAATTATGTTGCATATTGTTGTGTAGGGCACAGAAACTGCTTTAGTCACCGAACTTTGTGTTTTTTGGATTTTCACCTGTTACTAGATGCTTTACTTTGCTTACCACAGCTGGAGTATGACTTATTATTGGTTTCTTTCTGTATAGTCATGATACCCTAAGTTGATTCATATTCCTTTGTTTTCCAGTGTCATTAAGTGCAATCTGTATCCCCATCATGGAAGTACTACATCCTGATCAGAATATATCTTTGATTTGAGTGTATAAATATTTTGTATTAGAAAGGACTGTTATACACCCTTCTTAAAAGCTATACATTTTTGGTTGCATCTTACTACCTTCAAAATGCAAAATGTGTCTCTAGTACACGCCATTCCAATACAACTTTATATCTGTTGTAGTTGTTACATGAACTGCTGATTTTCATATTCAAAATTATTATACTGTACTCAATCTTTTATAATTTCAAACTGATTCTTTTCATGCTTTTATAACTCCTCTATTAATAAATTACAAACCTTATTATTGTTTGGAAATGTAAAATTTGGATAATGTTATACTTATTAGAAATTTTTCAATATCATTTTCTTTAATAGATTTTGACACTGACCTTGAAGGAATATGTATATTCATGGTACACGTAAGTAATTTTTTCAATACCTAGAGCATATGGAAAATCACATGCTTTCTGTAGTGTTCTCTAATAGCTATACTCTGTGGCCCTTTACATCCATTGAACACAGGCTAGAATTTTTCCCAAAGATTTAAAATGTGCTTTTGAGAAAACAAATAACCTGGGTCCAAAAATTATATCCATATTACTCATAAGTATGAAGATGTTTGAATTTCAGTTTAAGAAAGTGAAATTAATGTTTGCTATGTTTGGATTTCAGAAAAAAACTGAAATTCAGGTTGTAATAACTGTATAAAAACATTGGTTTATTACCAGTGTACACTAATTTAAGTTTGAGATCAACTTATGAATTATGGAAACAACACCTTCTGTCTACATGAGCATGTGTGTGGAATTTTCATTTTGTAAGGATATACTTCAGAAACATACATATTCAATCAAAGAGAAATATTTCAGATGGCCAAATGAATTTAGTCAGCAAACATGTGCAGTGTACTTTTTATTTAAACTCATGATGTTTGCTTAAAAGTCCTGGATCTTTTCAGTGAGTTTGAGCTATTAATACATACGACAGAAAGCCCCCCTCCAAGAAGAACAAACGGTATCATGAAAATATATATATTTAAAATAGAAGATATAGTCATCTTCTTTTTTAGTAACTACTTAAAATGTTCTTTTTGTTATAAATATCCATTAAAACAAACTATTTGTTTAACTCTTTCAGCACGGGCTTGATCCCTGGTACCGACCTTGTAACCATTTTGTGCTTCTTATAGTTTTTATGCTTTAACTTTTAAATTAGTAAGCATATGTTCACAAAATTTGACATATTATCAGTAAACATTGCAAGGCCTTTTTTTTTCTTTTCTCATGTTGCCTATCCAACATGCAAAGTAATAATCATTTTAAGATTAAAAATACTTTTATGCATCAGAAAAGTTTTAAATTTCACATGCAAAATATTTATAACATCCAGATAGTTGTCAAATGTTTATTAAGAAAAAACTTTATATTTTATCTGTTATTTTCACTAACAAATCTCTGTACGGGTTCAGTTGATTTGACTGACCTTGCAACCACCATAAAAAATTAGGAGATAAATATATTCCTACCTTTTTTTGTTCTAGAATGACTACAAATTATAACATGAAAACACAAATGTTTAGACTAAATAGCTTGAATCTCGTAACATTATACATTTATATATATTTATCATTTTTATGATATTGACCTTTCAGCTGTGCCTGGCTAACAATACAGAAGTTACAATGATATGGCGAACATGCACTCGTGTTACTGTATCCAAAAATATAAAACTGACCTTTAGTCTTTACAAAGTGACCTGACTTGGCTGTGTTTTAGTGGACTAGTATTTTGTAAAACACAGTCACATTTCAATTATTACACATAATATATGTATATACATTATTACTATATACAAATAACTTCTTTATTATTTATATCATCAGTTACTTGAACTAGAGCTGTTATGATGTAAACTAGATTATGTAAGTGAAGTGTATTTATTATTTTAGGTCATTTAGAAATCATAATTAGGGTAAGAATTATTAACACATTATTGTTTACATATACTAGTATTATTTTTAAACATCAATAATTTTTTTATTATTTTAACTTTAATGAACTTCACTGACATTCAGAAGAACTGATGAACTAGCAATTTAGTCTTCTTGTATGGCAAGTTTTTATTTAGATTAGAAATATAACCAGTTAATTACATACATTTGGTGTTTAGGTTATTTATTTTGATTTGTTTAATCTTTTCAGAGATATCAGCAGTGACGATTCATTTGTTCAGGAACTGAGAGTGGCCTTGCGATTTATGGGAGCCTCACTGATACGTCGAGTACGACAGGTAGGAAATGGTTTTGTTTTAAGAGTTGGAAAGGCTATGAGTGGATCCCAAACTGTAGCCATAGAGTGATGTCTTCCGAGCCACAGGACAAAGTGGACAAATCTTCTCCTCAACCCAAAGAAGTCCAAAAGGCAACACACCAGGTTTGGAATAATGGGACTGAATATGCCTTAATCAACCAGAGGAAACAGAACTCATACAGTCTGGATTTATGAACACTCATCCTCACTCCCCAAACATGTGGGCAAGATAAATTCCACTTGCTCCTGGAATTATGGGGAAAAAAAACTTAACCAAGGATCTAGTATAGTACCACTCTGCATTCAGAATTATGAATAGACAGTGGAACCTCTTCCATGAACAATGTATTGAACCAATACTGATAAAAAAGAAGGGCCACATTCAACCCAGCCAGATAGCCAAGCATCAGATCTGAACCAGTATTACGAGTAGGCTCCCATGTAGGCTGGTGCCATTCCTACCAATATCTGGGAAAAAACATCCAGGGATCCAGGTAGGAGGGCCCCCAACTTCACCCTTCATTCTTCAAACTGAAGTGAAGACTCACTGTTAATTACTAAAGCATCACATTTTAGGAACAAGTGTTGCCAAGGACAGATAATTATCATTAGACTTATATTCCATATAAAACTTCTTTCAAGCATCTAATTACTTAATATATATAAATATATATAATTTGTAGTCCAATTTTCCTATCCACCAATGAGGGATATAGGAACCATGGCCCTTTAATTTCAACCCCAAGTAATTGAACTTTGGCTATCTGCTTGGGACCTGGCCTATAGTGTTGATAAATCAGGTAAAATTCCACCCATACTACAGGAATTAAATTCCAGGTTAAGAGCATACTGTTATGGATGTAGTGTGGTTCCCCCACTAGAGTGCCAATCTTCTATTAACCCTTTGACTGCGATCCACTTACATTGTAAGTAGGTATGCAACTTTCCTGAATGTTCTTTATAAAAATGAAAAAAAAAATTTATAAAAACTAGTTGATGAAATAATTTTAAATTTGACTTGAATGGTCCTAAGATTATGATTTTTCAAAAAATAAAATATTTAATTTTGATTTTTTCTACTATTTTTAATAAAACATTCATTACTTAATCTCAATAATTCACATGCAATGTGATTTTTATTTTGAGTATAAAAGTACCATTTCTTATCTCACAGTTTTCACATTTCATTTGCATAATCTCTAGAACCTCCTAAATGAATATCAAAAGTTTTTAAGGTAAATGTTTATATTTTGTTTTCCATTTTCTCTGTTATATAATTAACTCCAGATATCATCATCAATGTACAGTGCAATAAAGTGTTTTAAAATTAAGAAATGGAAGTAAGTACATATCTTTTAAATTTTTGAAGAATAGTTTTCATAGTTGCATAATTTCACGTCTTTATCCTTTCACTTGTAGTTTATTTTTAATTTTCCTTTCCAATCCTTTGTCTTTTTTTTCATTATCCCAAGATCCACAACATGTCCTGTGTAGTGCTCTGTTGTTTATTATTAGTCTCATGCACAAATTCCAAACACTTACGCTCGTACACGTGAATGAAGCCGTCTTGCTTAGACATTTTGGTAAGCCAAACTACAAGTTAAACATATAAAAATCATAAACATTTCAAATATGCATTTTAAAACACACATAAATACATAATTAATTAAGACATAGATGTAAAACCTAAATGCAATCTTAACTGTTTAGCAAACTGATACATATAAGGTGAGAAAAACTTACCAAATATTACATACCACTTAAGAGAACAATGGACTAAGCTTATTTTCTATTTTGTACTACAGATCCTTACACAGGTAGAGGTTTCTTCAGGCAATAACTGAATAGTGCAAAATCTGCTCTTTCTAATGGTTATAATCATGCCACTCAACTTCAAAATGTCGCTTGAAAACACAACTTTGACTTTGCAAGTGGGCATGGCTGACCTTAAACTTAGACATATTAGAATGTTGTTTCACACTGGGAGAAATTTTTGGGAGTTTCCCCTCAGCTAATGAGAGACAACTGGAACTGTACTTTGACAGTCTATGCCGACAATCTATATTAGGAACTCCTAGTTTCTTGTGTAAGATTTAAGAATTTTAACCACAGTAGATCATGTGACAGCTTAACCTGCAGTTTTAATTGCTGTTTCAGATTTTTAATTTTAAAATAAAGGAATAAAACTTGAAAAATATAAAACCTTAAATTATAACGTACTTCATAATAGTAATTTCATAAAAATACGTTTATAGAAAAGTGGTTTAATTCAATTTTGAATTTAACTAAGTAAAATCTCATGAAATTCGAAGAAAAGGGTTTAAAAGGTTCATTGCATTCAAAGGGTTAACACACCCATGAACTATGCAGTGCTTTCTGTATGGATAGCTATAAGTGTGAGAGGAGGTAAGTATGTTTTGGAAGTTAACATTTTCTTAAATTGAAAATATATTTCCAATAATAATTCCCTCCATTCACACTCTCTCACCCTTCCTCTTCACTAAGAGCAGGTGTTAGAGACTGGGATTGAATCAGTCTTGAAAAAGTGATAACATTATCTGAATAAGGTGCTTATATACAGTACCAGCATTAGAGGGTGCATTGACATAGGTGGAGAGTGTCATGGGATAAATATCACCAAGGGCAATTGAATGGGATATAAAAGACTGGAGCAAGCAAGAAGAAATCAGACCAATACTTAGATGGGCAAAGGAAGAAATCCTGGTAGTCAGGTAGTAGCTATAAGTGTGAGGGGAGGTAAATATTATTTGAAATAAATTTTCAATTTAAGAAAATGTTAACTTTTACTTCCTTCCAAATTTTATTCCCATGGGAAATACATCGACAAGCTTAGGTGATTTTTTTTAATGGCTCTTTTCCTATTGTTAGAAAGTCAGAAAAATTGTGACAGTTATGGGCATTGTCTGCTTCTTACATGTTATTATTCTGTGTTCTTTGGTGCAATATTTAATTAAATAAAGTATTTAGTGCATTAGTACCATTAGTATAAAAAAAATAGTTGAGTGTTATTGACAATCGACAGCAAAAAACAACAGGTAAATACTTTATTTCTTGTTTTTCATGTGTATTCTTTATTTATTATTATAAAAGTAACTAAAATGTGAAATTTAGAAACTTTTTAGGTTAGAGTAGGAAAAATAAATAATAATTTCTAATGAGATATGTTTGCGAGCAATACGTGAGTAGCCTGTGCATTATGTAATTTGATAGTGTAACATGAGCTATACATTTGTCAAGTGATTTACAACTTCTATGGCATGAATATTAGTTAGACATGGTTTCAAAGGGCAATAAAACAACGTTTAAGTATAAACAGATGTATATTGTTACAAGTTTAAAGTTATTTAAAATATACAAATGTAGTTTCATGTTACAAATTGAAGTTATTCTAGAAATTAAAAAAGGGTAATTTAAATTTAGTTAATTTTTTTTTAGTGTTTACGAGGCTGGTCAAATTGACCTTCTATAGAGTTAGGGTAGAAAAAAGAACAGATAAAATATAAAGTTTTACTGAAAACAGATGTTCTAAATTTATTTATGAGGTTGTAGAGATTGTGCAAATGAAATTTGAAATTTTTCAGATGAAGAAAAGTATTTTTTAATCTTAACATGAAAGTCACTTTGCACTTGGAACAGTCAGCAGTTTGACTCAATATATTCGTGGAGAAATTTTTAGTGAAAATACTTCAATAAAAATTCTGATTTTTTTTTTTGTTGTCTACAAATGAATCTTAATGATTATTGAAAGCTTGCAAAATTTCGGGAAGACACAAAACATATTAGAAGTTATAGTATAGAAACTATAAAGGTCAATTTGGGGTCACAAACTTGGCTGATTTGACTAAGCCCATAGCAAGAGAGTTAAAAAGTATTCATAGAAATACTATCAAAATAAATTTTAAAAAGTTTTCAAAAATATACTTTTGAAGCTTTAATAACATAAGTTTGTATTAGAAAAAATAAAGAAATGATTGCTTGTTTCTAATAATACAACTAATTCTAGTTTTGTGTGCAACCTTAATTTTTGGCCAAATTAAATATTTGTCATATATTACCCCTTCTGCCAGTAAGATCATTCTAGATATTTGATGTTGCTGATATCATATAAGAAACTTGATGAAAAATTAATGTTTTTCCTATGGAACAATAAATTTTAACAATTCATGAAGAATTGACAGCTAAGAGATTTTGTTTACTAACTTCTGCTTCCTTTGCCTTCATTTGACAAACATCTTATCACAGGGGGCAGGCATTACTAATGGCAAATCTTTCAGAGGTTTTCACCTATTAAAACAACATTATGTTAAAAGTTTACAGTTATCATAAAATCCTGTTTAATAAGTCTAACAATGTTACAAATAATGCATAGAAAAAATTACATGGAATTTTACAGTAACGTTGATGATAGAAGCACTACATATGCTTAAAAAGTTTCTTGTTCCTTTGTCTTATTCATTTTTAAGTCTTTCTGTAGTGTGAAAACTTACTTCTTTTGTGAAATCATACAACTTCAAAATATTTACTTCAGTGATGTAAGCGGTAAAGAATTAGTAACTTTTTTTAGACCACAGTACTTGTTTTGAATAAGAAACATAAACTGTATTAAACTTAAAAGCTTACATACAGTTTCTAAGTATTAAGAAAATGAAACCAGCATCATATGAAAGTGTTAAGAGATGGTTTAACAATTTTAAAAAAATAGATATATCTGAACTTAGATATATGATACATATAAATGAAAAATATTTCCATTAGAGATCTTCAAAGTTTGATGGATTAATATATTTCTAATTGGAAATTAAGATATTCCCATCTAAAATTGCTAACATTACATGAGCCTTTGATTATTTCTGTATGTTAAATAATGTAATTTTTTTTTTTCAATTGTAGCTGTAATTTAAATTGGAATGGGGCATACTGTCTTGAAAATAAAATTGCTTTAATAATGATGGAGAGTTGGAACTAGTTTAAACTGTAAAATACCATCTTGGTAGTTAAAGTTCATTTTTAAAGTAGATAACAAACATTTGTGTCTAATTATTATTTTTAAATCCAATTACATCATTATGTAGCTACTTAACTGGTTCCCAGAGAGTTAATTGTATTTTATTTTAATAATTTTTATTTGTTAATGTAGTGCCATTTCACTGCATATGTGAGCTGTGACACAATGAACAATATGTTCAATACTTGTATATTTGGTTCAGTGCATTGCCACTACAGGTAGATTTATGAAGCAAGATATTCATATAGTGAGATTAAACAACAAAAAGCCCTCAAGGAGAACTGTAGAAGTTGACAAACTTGTGTAACAGCATGTTTAGAACAGTGATAAGTTTGGAAGACATACCCAATTCATACAGTCACCAAGAAGACTGTATGAATTGACACTCCCACATGTGTTAGATCATTTGCATCCTTTGCGAGTGTACTTTGATGTGCAGTTTACCCATTTTTTTAGGTTACATTTTGGTCAGAATCTATCTTAGAAAGATCCACTTGTGACCATCAGGTTATGACATTTAAGTCTGTGTACTAGCTGAATAAACCAAGGTTGTCAACCCTCACTTTTGCTGTGTACAGCTAAGGTCTTAAATACTGCCACCATGATTGAAAGAAAGTCCCCAACTTGAGTCTACAAGATCTGTGGAGGCTCCAGCTTCTATCTCTACCTAGACCAGCAGTTTAAAAGAACAAGTTTATCAACATCAGTGACACTGGTTACATTTCCTAAATAAAAAGGAAAATATCTCCAGGGGAAGTATCACCAAATGGCTTATCTGCTGATCAAGGAATAAGAACATCAGTCACTGGTTTTTTCCTCAATCTATGAGACTGTGATGAAAGTTCCAAAAGTAACTTTGCTTGGCTATCAAAAGGCCAAAAGTTTCTTCCTTAAAGACTACTCTTCCTGGTTGAACTTATGAGAAGAGAGGTGATTTTGTGCAAGAGTCTGTCTTTTTTTTTGTATGTATGTATGTATGTAACTTATTTAGTTTTATGTGGGATTGTTCCAGCAGTGTAACTTCTGATAATCCTGAGTGGAGCAACCTGTGTGAATATTGAGAGGGATCATTTACTGATGAAAGAAAGTTATGCTTCTGTTTAAGAATATAATGACCAACATGCAAGAAAGTAAACCTTTTATAATAATTAAAATGTAAAAATAAATCAGTTTTCAAAAATAGTGTATCTCTTTGAGGATGTAAAAATGTGTAGAGTTTAAGGAGCCAAATTCATGTAGTTAGAATTTTCTTGTAAGTTAAAAACAGAAAAGGTAAAAGCTATGTAATATCATATGAAGTTTGGAGGCATTTATAGTTATATACCTAAGGTGTAGAAAGTATATAAAACTAAAAGTATAAGATTATGTAACTTAAGATGTAAGTAAAGATGTAAAATTATACATGCTTGAAATATAAAAATTTATATAACTAAAAGTCTCACGACTTGTATACTTAACATGTAGATAAGAAATTGAAAAGATATAAAAGTTGTTAAAGTTCTATGGTTAAACTGAAAAGTATATAAAGTGTAAAACTATAAATATTTATGTGAGTAGAAAATAGAAAAAAATTATAAAAAATTTGTTTGCAAAAGAGTTTATTTAATTATGTTTACCCTCCCCTTTTTCATTACCTTTGTTTTGGTTACTGACATAAGTTTTCTTGACATATATATATATGTGTGTGTGTGATATTGGTTATACTAATCATAGTAGGAAACAATTAAGAGAAAATTAGTGTTTTGTATCTTGTGTTGTATGAACTTTGTACTAATTAAGTTTCAACTTTGTGAATCATATGTAACCCCCTCTGTTTCTAAGATATCAAACAGAAATATGTGGCAACATAGATACACTTATTTTTATTATCTGTGGAACATTTACAGAGGCCAAGTGAGTGTAGTTTGTATAAGACTGTAAAACTTTTTACAAAGATATGGTACATTTATGCCATGAACTATCTCAGAATGTGGGCATATAGTAGCTGTTTGTTGGTAATTAAAGGACTACAAGGATAATGTTATTACACAAATTTTTCCTGTTTAATATAAGAATGCTGATATTCAACCTTTAATTACTATTGTTTGTTACAGATTTTTTTTACACAATTTTTCTCATCATTTGACATTGTCAGTTATTATTTTATTAGTGGTTTTCTCATGATCTTTCTTGTTATAAACTATAATGTATTCTTCTTAGAAATTCTAGTCTCCTGCTAGTATTTTCAATATAAATATTTCTTTAGAAATGTTGCTTTTCATTATTTCTCTCTTATTTTCTTGAGAAAAATGAGAAGAGGCAATGTAGTAAGTAGTATGATATATTAGCTCAGTTGGGGGAAATACATATGGCTGAAGCTGACTGAATGATGATAATTTGAAGAGAGAGAGAGAACAAGAAACACATGAATAATCATGTATTAAAGTCACGTGAAAGAGATTTTTCAAATCACACAATTTCGATTGTTAACCATATTATGAACAGTGAGCACCTTTCAGTTATGTAGTGCACACCTGCATATTTAATTTTAAGATTAAGTAAATATAATAAATGTAAATGTATTTTAATAATTTCAAACTCAGAATAATTTTGTAATTGGTATTGTAATTTTATAATATTTATTTAATATAATTCCAAAATCAATTTAGAAATGTTACTTACCTCTCTGCATCACTAATAGCTATTACTGCACATGCAACTGCTGTAGAATTTCCTGCTCGTAAAACAAGACTTAAACAAACTTCTACCCCTACATATGTCGATATGTACTGCATAAGCATATGATGTAAATGTCAAAAAGCTGTAGTGCTCCACCAGTAAGAAGGTAACATAACCTCCATGTGCAGTAATTCCCATGTGCACTATTACATGATCATACACTTATTTCTTTCCTCATAACCGTTTGTGATCAAGCATGTTTTTTCCTGTGCTTTTTTGAGTTACTAGCTGCTTTGATTGACTGTCTTTCTTATTTCTATTCCATGTTACTTTTTTCATCTTTGCATTTTTGTTCCATCCACCTGATTGCAATTTTGTTTTCTCTAACCATAACATATTTTATTTGTGCTACTTCAAACAATGAATGTATAAGAGAGAGAGAGAGAAAAAAACAGTCCTGAGGCTCTTAAATTCCTCTTTTTTCTTTGCTATGTTCACAACATTCACATTGATCAACATCTTTCTTGTTCTCCTCATCTTCCTGACTCCTTTGATATGGTCTAAGGTCATGAACCTTATCTATTTCTTGAACCCCAATCTCTTGTGTCCCTTCTCTCTACTTGGGGACCTCCTCTTTCTCTTTCTTTGCCCCTTTCTATCTTGCAGTTTTCTCATCTTCATCTTATCTTTACTCCTATGTCTCTACCATTCACCTGCTCACTGTGGATCTTCATCATAACCCTGATAGTTTTGTTTTGTTGAGGACACCCATTCTTATTTGGTTGCTCATTTGGCTTCTGTTTCTTCCTCTGTTATCTCTGTTGGTGTAGATGCTTCCCTTTTGGGAGTTCACTTCCCTTCATCCTTTCTCTTTGACTTATGTCTTTGCCCTCTGAGGGTGTTCCAGAATCTTTGGAATTTCCAGTTGGAGCTACTTGCTAAAAACCTTACTTTAATTCCCTGGTTTCCTGACTCACTAGATCACAGATACTCAGTTGACTACCAGTCTTTGGGAGTCCCATGGGGCTACTCCCTCTCTTGTTTCTTGTCCTATTGATTTTACTTGTCATTCCTCCTTCCATTGGCCAGGCTGCTAAGACTGTCATTGGTAATTCTTCCATTGAGTCAGTTCTTCGCTCTGGAACTTTTAGTTTCTGCCTTTCCCTCTTGCACACCTATAGTCTTTCTTCACCAGTGACTCTTGGGTAGTGCAAATTCTTTCTTCAGATCTGTCCTGCTTTTCATATTCCACCTCCTCTTTCTCCTTATCCTCTCACCTATTCTCTTTTCTCTGATCCTCTGTCTTTTCAACATCTTCCTGAGACTTTTCTTGATTCTTGGGGTGGGCTCAATCATCTCCCTTTTTTTTTCACACCTTGGAGATCTTTATATCAAAGGCTATTCACTCTCCTTCTCTTTCTGCACCAGTGGTTCTCTTGCTTTTAGGAACTCTGGCTTCTATCTACACTTGCGTCCACTTCATTGGGTCTGTAACATTTCCCACAATCCCTTATCTGTCCTTGCACTTTCCTATTCATCTTTCTGTCCCTCTGTCATGGGAGGCTTAATCATTCCAACACAACCCAGGGTCTTCTCCCCCCAACTATACTGAATAACTGAGATAGATGATTAAACTAAGCAGTTATATACCCAAAAAATAAAACAATAAGTCACTATTTAAAAGGACCAACAAAATTATTAAGCAGATTAGAGAGTATTTAACTGACTTCTGTAATGTATCTTGTAGGTTGACCTGGTAAATATCATCTTAGGAAGGATCAGTAGAGTTGCAGCTTATCATGTGGATGGCTGTGTGAAAGGCAAAGCTGTTTTTGGTAATTTACATGTGGCTCTTCGCAGTAGGGAAGAAGAAATCCAGTATTTAAGATGTTTAGTGGAGAGACTTCTACCTTACACCTTACCTAGAAAACCTCTTCAGTGCAGGTATATAATAATATTAGTCTTTTTTTCATCCTATAAGAGGGTTGACTGTTTTCATTATACCATTGTGAACTGTAGTGCATCATTACTTGAATAATTTGAGATTTTATTGTAGAATCTTATTAATTTGTAATAGCCACAATGGTTGTTTTTGCCTTGTTTACGAAGATTGATTTACAAAACACATTATTTTATTAAGAAAACCATAAAAATTTACTATGTTAATTTTTTTTAGAATTTTATACTATTTTCACCAAACTAAAAATTGATATGAAAATATCAAATTCCCATTAATTATAAAAATTTTAACCAGTGGAATTAAACTTGTAATACTGAAAACTTTATTACAATACCAGTGTTTAAATGAATAATTGAATTTGAGGAAATCTCATCCTATTCTCAATAAAGAACATTGGGTAATTATATTTAAGCATAATAGTGAACACACAAAAAATATTAGTAGTATTTTAATAAATGACCATCTAATTCTTAACTGTGATCTTTCATTGAGCAGTATTGTTCATAATAATAAGTGTAGCCGTATTAAGAAATATCTTGTGTACACTGGTGGACTGACCAAAGCAGTAAGTTTTTTGAAGTTCTATTCAATTTAAAGTGATTTTTTTTTGTTTTATGTATGTGGTATTCAAATACACTGACATCCTACAGATAGTTTCAAATAATGCAAAATGCAGGTTCTGACAAAAATGTTGGGAAGAGAATAATTTCAAACACTGAAAGTAAACAAAATTGTTGAAATAGAAGAAAATTTTTATTAATACAATGTAATTTAGCTTACTGGCAGGTTTATTATGCATGGTTAAACTTTAATTAGCTGCTGGAGCAAGGTAGAACACACATCTTCACTAGCAAAGATATAAGCAAGAATAATATATCTGCACAGACTAGAGATGGGATCAGAAATTATAAAAATACTACACTGTTAATTGGAACCTAGGTCCTAGTAAAGTATTCCACAACCCTTAGATTACTAAAGTAATCAATTATTCCCATTATGCATATCCAAAAAGAGATAAACACCCAATTCATACATACTTATACAAGTCTTTGTACCTTTTCTTGTGTTGGTGTTATTTCATTCCAGGAAAACATGACAATAAACAGGTCCAAGTAAGTATATGGAAATGGAACAGTCGTTGTAGTGTATATCCTCTGTCTAATGTAGAGGAGTATTATGTTTACAATCTACTGATGTAGGCCCGACATGGCCAGGTGGTTAGGGCACTCGACTCGCAATCTGGGAGTCGTGGGTTCAAATCACCGTCCCACTAAACATGCTCGCTCTTTCAGCCGTGGGGGCGTTATAATGTGATGGTCAATCCCACTATTCGTTGGTAAAAGAGTAGCCCAAGAGTTGGTGGTGGGTGGTGATGACTAGCTGCCTTCCCTCTAGTCTTACACTGCAAAATTAGGGATATCTAGCGCAGATATCCCTTGTGTAGCTTTGTGCAAAATTCAAAAACAAACAAACTACTCATGTTTGACTTAAAAAGATATCATAACTATGTGCACAAGATCTGTACACAAATTTATAAAACTACTCAAGTATATCTAGATAAAGATCTGTTTTTTACTCTTTATGGAAGATAAAATTTATGTTGATATTTCTAATTGTTTTATCTCATTGTCTTGCTAGACACAACCTTCAAAATTGAATGTTAAAGGCCAAATTAGAAGTTAACCGCAAAAACACTATGTTAATTTAATATTCACGGAATTTAATTACATAATGAAATTGAAACAAAAAAAAGAACATAAATGAAATGCGATACCAGGTAAGATTTGGTATACAACCACAAATAATCCTGAAACTCAGAGTAAAATATCAAACAGGCAGAGCGTGGCTTAATGGTTGGTGTGTCAGTCTGTTGATCTGCGGGTCTATTGTTCATGTCTTCATACAGCCCCCAAAATATCACACAGTGCACTTTGGGGCTATGGATGCATTAAAAGAGGGTGATGATTAAATCCCACTAATCAATCAGACATGAATAGCCCAAGAGTTAGCGGTTCTGCTGTTGTTGACTAACTATGCCTTACCTCTGGTCTATCAGTTTGAAACTAGTGATGGCTAGTGCAGATAACCATTAAGTATCTTTGCATAAATTTTCAAAAACAAAAATAAAAAATGATACAACTAAACATGTAAACTAGGCAAACTGAATTGGAAATAAAAGAATAACAAAGTCAAATCAACAGATGAAACTTTATGAAATATGAGCTTGAAGAAAATAAATGAAATTGAAACACACACACACAGACACGCAGTACGTATAGGCACCTCTAGAGTGAACAAAAAAAACTTCCATCTTCCAAAGTGTTATTTGTATGGTATGTATCCTCTCTAGCCCCCGAATATCTTTGTGAAGGCATTAGTTCTCCTCCCAAAACTGTTTTCTTTGTTAAGTTTTGAGCCTCAGTTTTTTCTGGCCTATTCTGTTGTTTCCTTCCTGCCACATCAAAACTAATGTCTGTGTCTAGTTTGCTTCCTGGGTTTGACAACTGTTTACTCTCCCTAGCTCAATATTATCTGGAACAGTTTTGGGGATAGTACTTGGAAACTTATCAACGTGGGAAGTAAAAAGCAGTGCTGTTGTGATATTTCTGGGGCTAAGCTAGATCCATTGCCTTGAAAAGCTGAGATTTCATCCATTGGGACATTAAAGGTTGTGACAGTTTTGGGTGAGGGGTTTTGGGCACTTCCTTGCCATGCTTGTAGACAACTCTTTTACTCAGTATAGTGGTATTGCAACCTTTGAGTGAACAATGGTATCAAAACTTCTTTTATCCTTCCTTGTCCTGTGATGGAGGATCAGACTTCATCTGATCAAGTTAGTCAACATGATGATTAATGGGCCTGCTACTTGGTGATAATTTGTATTGTGTCTGGAATGTCTAATTTCTGCCTGCTATAATGTTATGGACTTGATGCTTTGAGGATTTTAATGGAAATTTTGGGCATTCCAGTCATGGCCATTAGTTCCGTTGACAAACAGGTTTTTTCTTTATGTTAAAGTGCTGTTTGTTCTCCTGTTTTATTACTTTGTTTCAACATCAGGAAAGAAATAACTAATCATAAAGAATTACAGCTTTATATAATAAAAGTCAATATTAAACACTCCAAGTCATCTCAACTTCTGTTAAGTCAGAAGTTCACTAAGTAGTTTTTAAGTATCACAAACAGTCAGGCCACAACCTAACCTTTTCTACAAAAGAGTAGTCTTGATAGAATGTGGCATATGTGCTGCATCTGATAGCATCAGTGATAACTGCACCCACTCTTTTACAGCAAAAATGAAATCTCCCAGTGGGACAGTGGTAAGTCTATGGATTTACATCACTAAAATTGGGGATTTGATTCCTCTTAGTGGACACAGCAAATAGCCTGATGTGGCTTTGTTACAAACACAAACACACGCAAAAATGCATATGTTTCAAGCACTAGTAAGTGTACAATCTATATAGCTTCCATGGAACAGTGCATCTACAATTACATTAATCAGACCCCTGATGTTGCCAGACCCTGGCAACAAGTTTACCTCTAAGAAGGTATAGCCATCACACATATAGGTGTGTTCTTTTGTCTTTTTTTGGTTACCTAAAAGGCAGAGCACAAGTTTGAGTGGGGAAGGAGAGAGGGATGAATCTAGAAGATAATGCATTACATAGGCAACTAAAATTAAGTCAACTACTTCATAATCACGAACAAAAGTTTGTAGTGTGGAAGGTTTTGTAACCTGTCTTTTCACAATAGTTGCCATAATACTGCTAGTAAATATAGTTAAATAAAATTTGTTCAATAAAAATATTGAGTTAAACATGACACACATACAACATAGGACCATTTGGTCCTTCAAAGCTATCCTCACACACACACAACTAGCCTTTATTTTTCTGAAATTCATCAATTACTCAAGCTAATGTAAGCTGCTAGCCTCATCTACTACTGATGGCCATTCATTCCATAGTCTAATCACTCTGTTATTAGTGTCATTAATGTAAATAAAAAAAGGGGGAGAAGCTCAGGTGCTGACCTCTGAAACACACCACTAGTAGCAAAGGTCCATTTTAACTGAACTTATTTAAAAAACTTTTTTTTTGCTTTCTCTCACCCAGCCATACTACAATTCAATTAGCTAATCTTTTCCCATCACTCACCAATGTGATTTTCATAGCTATGAAAAGCCTCCTAGAAAAATATCTAAGTATACTAAATCCACATCCTTTCCAACATTCAAGTAACAAGTCAACAGATTAGTAAAACAAGATTTCACTTAGTAATTTTCATGTAATTTTTTTGTTATCATATATAAGTAAATTATTTTACTAAGCTTCTTTGATCACACCCTAGAATTGTTTTTACTAAGACTAACTGAACTGTAATTTCCACAACAGTTTTATCATGTCCTTTTAAGGAGAGTAAGAGTAACATTAGCAACTCTCCAATCCTCAGGTTCTTTACCACACTGTGCTGGCTTACAAAAAATGAGAGAGAGGGGTTTGCATATCTGATCTGAGAAAAACATTGTTTGGTCCTGATGTTTTATATATGTTTAATTTCTGAATCTTTCTACTTATCATCAAGTCAATTCTAATACTTCCCTTAGAATGCTGAAGATCAGGCATATTGTTAACATCATCTTTTAAGAACTTAATGCACATTATATCAGGCCTCGAGTAATCCCAGGTACAAGGTTATCATGGCGACTGAAAATTTCATCATGGTTGTTCAGTATTTTCTCCCATTTTAATTGTGTGTAGGGCTGTGCTAAATAGAACTTGAATCCAGAAGAGTTCTGGACTCTTGTAAGTCTAGAACTATTTTCGTGTTCTTTGAGTCTTAAGTCAAATTTTGTTTCTAGGATTTTAATGGCAGATTCAGAACTTCTTCATGTTTTTTTTCAGGAGTGAAACACTGTGGCTGCTCAACACATTACTAATTTTATGTCATTTTGTTTTTCTTCTTTCAATTCAACCAATCAGTGCATGTGTTTAGACTCAGAAAGAACCAAAGGCAGTTAGTTCAGGCAATACTATCAAGTGATTTTTGATATCATATGATTGTTGAATGCACTCGTTGCTGTGAAAGTAAATAAATATACATTTCATGATATAAGCAGTAGTGAAGTTAGGTTAGGCACACCTGGCTCCTAGATCTGAAAATATTTGTCAAGGTGTGCTATAAGATAAACCTTCCATCTTAAGATTCATTCTAGTAGTCCTACTAAAAATCCTTTCACATAAGTTAGTATTCTTTTTGGTAAGGAGACTAAAACTTTTTATTTGCACTTGATTATTTGCACTGGTCTGGGGAAAACAAAATATTGCAGATAATAGAAACAGAGGATAATCGAGGCACTAGTGTATCTTACTAGTTAGCCCATTGTTTAATCTAAATGTAATTTTTCAATATATTTAAGTTCTTTGTTTTAAATTATAGTCTTTTTACTGTCATTTAATCATATTACCATGAAAAATTATAAAAGTCATAATCATAAAAGCCAAGCATTGGTCACTCAGTCAATCGAAGTTCAATTTCACTTCTCCTATAATACTTCCTCTTTTGATTACTCATTCCCGTTTTAGTTGAATTTAATTGCTAATATAGGCATAAATAGCTCCTAATTTTCAGCACTTTTCTGCTTTAGACAAGGAAATGCATTTTTACTCTATCAACACCTGTGAAAAATAAGTCAAAAATCAGCACAAGTCTGTGTTTGGGAATTATTATGAAAAAGCCTTTGTTAAAGCAGACAGAAGATACAAATTATCTGTAGGGAAGAGGACAATGTATAACTGGGCGACACTCCAACACAACCTGAACATGCATCTGTGGTTAAAGGACACCAGCTGTGCAGCATAGAACAGCAGACAACAACTGAAATTGACTGAAATGTTTAAGAAATCTTAATGTGTATTTTGTGTGTTTTCTTTTACTATGTTTTAATCACTAATCGAATAAAGTTAACCAAGCTACAGATATTTTGTATTCCTGTCTTAGCAGCTAAAATCAAATGGGCAAGGCAACACTTGAACTGTCCGACTTACAATTTGAATGCATATGAAATCATGCACACAAAAACCCCAGATATCATGCAACACCTGAACTTTTGCAACCAAAATTAATTTTTGAGCAACAGTTTCTCCAAATCATGTAAATTATTGTCTAGAACTGTAATGGCACAATTATTTTGAGAAAAATCTAGGAGAAATAAAAAACCGTGGATATTTGAGGATCACGGATAATGGGGGCGTGGATAATCGAGGCACTAGTGTAGCCCCCATTTCTCAGCTCAAACAGTAGTGAAGTTAGGTTAGGCACACCTGGCTCCTAGATCTGAAAATATTTGTCAAGGCCAGCATTATGGATTTAAGATAACCTAAGCCTCCTTGGCTGTCTAAACCTTGTAAGATGTTACTGGGTTTACAGCTGAAAATAATGTTAACAGTGAGGGTACCTAACTGCCAAAACATAGCATTTTAATTATTATATGTAATATAGTTTGAACATTATAAGCTATGCTTGTTAGTGAGTATATATCTTTAGCTCTGATCTATATAGATAGCTTGATTTGATCACAAGTTAACATTAAACAGATATTATCAGTGTATATCAATAAACATGGCATCATAACATAGTTTATTAATTTCTATGTATAATATGACACCTCTTTGGTTTGAATTGCACATTTTGATTTTCTTCTATCACTATATGACCTCCTTACTTTACATATTCCCGAGCTAAACTGTTAGTATGTTGGAACAAAGCTTTTTTGCTTTACAAAGATATAAGTAATAAAGTGGATTATTTGTAACCAATAGAAGGCAAAGATTTCAATTTACTGACAACTATGGGACCTCAAGCCCTGGATAAGCAGATTTGAATATTTTGGCATCATTTTCTTTGTTGGTCACTATTGGAGCTGTGTTTGACCAGTTATGGTAACTATTTAAGCCATTTATAGCTTAGTTAGAAAATGTGGTCAATTATATTAGTTTTAGGTATTTTATATGCATGGCAATATTTAATATTCTAAATTGCATATTTGAATGCTTAGAAAAATAATTTTTGAGACCACTGGCCACTCTTCTAGTGTGCAAGTTCAAAAGCTTGAAAAACAGAAAATTTCAAATGTAAGTGCTAAATGTTGTGGTTTTTATATTTATTTTTATCAATTCTTATATAAGTAACTGCAACATAAAAAATTAGAAATTTATTAGGTCAGATAAGGAAAATTAAATGAAATTATTAGATAAAATACTTATGTTCAATGATGGCACACTCCGAGCTCAAGTGTGGTTGTGTAATTTGACATGAGGATGCTGGTAATTGGATTTGTTGTTTACATAAAATTGATTGTGTAATAAATGGCTGTCACCTTAGTCTGAGAGAGCCTAAGTGCAACTGTGACGAAATAAAACTAAATAAAAAAATTAATAATTTTGGTTATAAAAATAAATGGTGTGTAATATTCTCTTACAGTGTACAGTCATTCTAGAAACAAGAGGGAATCCTCAATAGCTGCAGCACTTGAAATTCTTTTTATGCAGGATTAGATTAAATTAATCTATGAGACCTTTGGCATGGTCAAATACATCAGTCAAAAGGGTTTGACTTCCTTAATCCAAAACTGCAATTAACTCTCAAATCAGTCAAGAGATGACAGAGCTATGAGGTACAATTTGTACTTGAAAAACTCGGAGCCATTCTTTGAGCTGCTATACAGTGGCTAAAAAGGATAATTTACATTTCAGTGTTTTTTTTTGTGATTGTTATAAGGTTGGTCAAATGGACTGAGTCTGTATATACTGTATACATTAAGAGATAAAATGTGCTGTTTTACTAAAAACAAACTCTTGATATTCATTTAAGAGTTTTTAGATGTTATGCAAATGAAATTTAAAAACTGTAAAATGAAATAAAGTATTTTTAATTTTAACATGAAAATTACCTTGCACTCAGACTTGTCAGACTCTGACTCCATAAGTTCAGAGACAAATGTTTAATTAAAATATTTAATTAAAAAAATCTGACTTTCTGTGTACAAAATACTTTGAATGTTTACTAAAAGCTTGCCAAACTGTATGAAGATACATTTACAACATTAAAATTTATAGTATGTATACTTTCATGGTTACGTGGTGGTTGCAAGGTTGGTCAAAATGATTGAACCCATATACACTCAGTTAAACTTGTGTTATTTTTCCCTGATTTTCTTCTTTATGTTCATAGTAAGTGATTTACATTTGGTCTTTCTTGTTATCTTTTCCTCTTTTTACAAACATGTCTATTTTGAATTAAAAGCAATTTATTATTTTAAATTTACCTGTTAACTAAATTACCTGTTAACTCCTTAAATTCTTAACTAGAAGAGTAAAATATTGGATATTTCCAATCATCACACAGATAAATGTGTACTTTCTTATAAAACCCAGTACCAAATGCATTAATTAGTACAGGATTAAATATGTTGTTTACTGAGATATGTAGATTTATCACAAATTATCAAACTGATCAGACTTGTAAGAAAACAAGAAAGGTTTTCAAAAGTGTACTGAGATACCAATGAAAATGCCAACCTACTTCCACTGTTATAAGATAAAATACTAAATGTGAGTATATTTGTTAAAAGAATGTGCAATAAATTATCAGAAGTTGAAATTTGGGATGCAGTAAATTACGTGTTTGTAGTTTGTATGGCTACACATTTATGTGTAAAAGAGTAAACAAACATTTGGATAGTGTTTTTTGTAGGTTTTATGGTGGTGTTAATACATTTTTATGGTGTATGGATAATATTGTTATGCCAAGGTATATGAAAATGTTTATATGCCAGTTGTAAAAGATATTATGTTGTTATGTAGTGTAAACCACTGAAGGCCAGACAACAGTCTTTGTAAGTTAGTAGTGATGCTATTTTTTATGATCACCTGTAGAATTTCTGCTGCATTATGGTGACAGTAGGGTTAATGGTGATGCTACCCATTTTTTATAGCATGTGAAAAGTATCAGTAAAACAGTTGTTTTCTTTACCTCTTCTTTCAGAAGCCTCAGTACACTGATTCGGGAAGTATTGTGTGGTTCAGTCCTCTTGCCAGCGATGGATGTCATAGCCAATCCTGTAAGTCTAAAGTTAATAATGGGAGAATGAGAGAATAGTTTTAATAACCAACTCTGTTGAATCCTAGAATACCCCATAAAAAATGGGATGAATGTTATAGCTAACAGATTACTAAATGTGGTATTTTATGAACATCGTTGTCTTCTCTGTAAGATTTTAATTTATTAACTGGAGAATTATGTTATTATATGAAACAACCCTCTAAGCCATACATTACTAATAAAAGGATCCCCTGTATCTTTTACCCAAACCTGTTAAATTACACATGACTAACTCAGAAATATTGTAAATATTATAGTTAATTCCAAAAGTACTAGATTTTTATAATAGGAGGGCCAGTGACTGTCATAGCTAAACTTTTAAATCATATGTTAGTGAGTAGAGGATGTTGTGGTTGTTATAACTAACCCTGTAAAGTTATAGACATTAATTTAGGCCCGGAAGATTTCATAAATGTGATACCAATTCTGTTGATTTGTGGATTACTGCATCTGAAGTGTTGCAAAGTGAATCTTTAGTTTCTAGATCATTAGCTGGAGGATCATGAATATTCCTTTTGGTCTTTAGTTACTAACTCAAGGTTTCATTTTAGTTGTCATAATCTTGAAGTCCTAGATTGAATGCTAGCCAAGTGTGTAAATTCTAGAATATTAATGAAAGGATTCTCTCAGTGTTGTGAATAATTGTGTAGGTCTTTACTAAATGAAGGCTTTTAGATGTTATAACTTACCTTTTAGGTCTAATTTGTACACTCTAGGGTCTTGTAACTCACAAAGCACAATGTAAGTTCTAATTTATTATTTTATAAGTTATGGGTTACTAAATATTGAATTATCTGTAAAGTACTAGATTACAGGGTAGAGTATTTTTTGTCACTATATTTCTAACTGTATATCATAGCCATTCTTGTAATTATTTGATTTCAAAGTAGAATACAATGTATTTTGTAACTGTCATAGCCAACTGTTAGATTACTAACCAAATAATTTTCATAGTTAAATAGTGGAATCAGTAAATTATGAAATTAATTTTTGTGATGTTACGAAAGTCATAGTTAACTGTACAGTCATAGATTACCAATTAGATTAGAGTTAATAACATAGAAAACCCTGGAAAGTCTTATAATACTAATTAGAGAAGCATTTCAATAACATAGTCAACCCTGGAAAAACTTAGATTACTAATTAGAGGGGTATTTTAACCTTCTCTTTATGGGCTTGGTCATTTTGAAAACCTTGCAACCACCATGTAACTAAGAAACTGTACATAGTATAACTTTTAATGTAGTAAAGTGTATCTTTACAAAAGTTAGCAAGCTTTTAGTAAGCAACTCTTTTGTTTGCAAACATTTTTTTCAGATTTTTTGGTTAAGTATTTTTATCAAAAGATTTGTCCATGAATTTATGGAGTCAGGGTCTGAGTCTGAATGCAAGGTGGTTTTCACATTAAGATTAAAAATACTTTTTTTCATTAAACAGTTTTCAGATTTCATTTGTATAATTTCTAGAACTTTCTATTTTATCTTTTATTTTTTTCTACCTCAATGCTTTATTGGCTCAGTCCATTTAACTGTCCTTGTAACCACCAGAGAAAAATACAAAATAAATCTGAATAACCCTTTGTTCTCTCTAGAATGACTGCAGATTGTAACAGAAAATTAATCATTTTTCCTAAATAGCCTCAGACTTTTAGCAATTTACATGTTTTTATTTAACTTTATTTTTTTATTTCTTCTTGAACTGTGTCTAATTACCAAGTCTGTGTGACAAACTTGAACATACCTGACAAATGCATAGCTCAAGTTAAGGTTTTGAATAACATAACACAAGGGTTTCTCATGTAGGTCAGGACATGTGCACTTCTATTTACTCATATCCAGAGGGTTAATAACATAGTGAACCCTGGAATGTTTTAGATTACTAATTAGAAGAGTATTTTAATAACATAGTCAACCCAGGAAAGTGTTAGACTATTAATCAGAAAAGTGTTTTAAAGAATAGTCAACACTAAAAAGTCTTAGATTGCTAAATAAAAGAATGTTTTAATACCATAGCCAACCTTAGAAAGTCTTACATTAATAATTAGAGGAATGTTTGAGTAACTTAGTCACCCCTGAAAAGTCTTAGGTTGCTAATTAAAGAGGTATCAACATAGTTGACCCTGGTATCACTTTGTAAACCTGTTGGACAAGGCAGCTACCAATGCTTGGTAGTTTTAACATCTCTCAGCTGGAAGGTTAATTAATGTTGTTAAAGCTGTTTTTTTTTAATGGGCAGAAAGATGAATAGTTTATTGTTCACAGTTCCACTTTTCACCCTGTAAATGATTTCGAAGTGAGCTAGATATACCTCCTATTGGTACTTTTACATCATAATCTCAATTAGGTAACATTGCTGAAATGACCAGCTAAATTCTGAAATTTGGTAGTGAAAATGCTGATCTAGTTCAGGAAGGTTGTGCAGTAACAGATGGAACAGCAGAAGTGTTAATAAGTGAACACCACTTAGGTTCTCCTATCCCACATTTTGTAGTATATGGTGAATAAGGCAGATGCAGAAAAAGATGTGGTTTGCTATTACAACCTTGCTGCTTCTTCAGTTGTTGTAATCCCTCAACATTTCCAGTAGTTTCATCGATCTGGTCTTCATTCACATTTCTTTTTAATTCTGGTATGGTACATTAACTCTGCACACATAAATAACTATTCTCATTCAGTGCGGTCTTCTATATGCAAAAAATGTTTTTTACACATTCCACAAGCCTTCTGTCTCCCTTCCTTTGGGAATGACTCATTCCAATATGTCTCTCATGCAAATCATCATGCGACAACCCTCCAACAATGAGAGTGCCACACACTCTTGCTACGCATGTGACTCCTATTCAATTCTACCAGACTATCACTTTTCATTAGGCAGTGCTCATGTTTAGACATTTATAATTTTGCTTTTGTGTGCTTCATCTTTATAACTTAAATAGTTATACTTCCGAAGTAGTCTTCTTTATTAATAATTTTTGATTATACAGCTGATGCTTTTACTTTCAATTCACTTTCCAGTCTTTTTTTTTGTCTCTCTCTCTCTCACACACATTTGTATACATCTATCAAACAATTTGTTTGATATATTATTTACCAGGAATTCTGAGGTTAATGTTACCACTTTGGGTATTATACCTCCTGCAAGCACTTTTTCACTGGTGGCAGGTGAGGGAGAACCATCGGTGGATTTACCTGTGATTATTCACTGAGAGATTGATCATTATATGGGTCAACTACCTTCTCTTGAACTTGCCCCACTTCCTCAAGAACAAGATGAACCTGTTTGTTTTGATAGCCTTTTTCTACCACCGGATTTTGCTGTGTCTTCCTATGCCCCACCTGCGGAATCAGCTAGGCCTAATACAGCATTTTTAGACATGATTCCTCAGGTATGTGATGTTTTTATTCTTTTCCATGATACCCTAGGATACCTAATCTCCTTTGTTGCATGATAGTTCTACATCTCCTTATTTAGTCTTCCCACCATCCTTGGGTATTAGGGTTCATGCTGAGCATTTTGCTTCCCAATTGGTTAAGGGGGACAGCATGCCTTGCAGCAGTTGTTAGGGGCTATTTTGCCAGTTTGGGGAGCACTCCCTGATTGTCCAGTGCATTTAACCCATGCCCAGTTTTCACACCTTCGTCTTATCCTTACTTCAATTCTACAGTATGTATCTACTATACATCTCTTACACATACATACCTTACACACGTGGTTTCTCTGTTGTTGGGATTTTCTGGTTTTCGATGTGGCCTTGTCCCAGGTTCGTTTGCAGCCCACTTATCTCAGGGAATTATGTATAGCCCCTTTTCTTTGGTGGTACATATTCAACCATACTCCAGACACTTTGGAATTGCATGTGGAATCCCTACATCAACACTCTATCCTTTCTTCTTTCGTAGCTCAGTTGCCACAGTCAGAACCATAACAAGCCCCTATTCCTGTTTCCCATCCTAGTCCTTCTCAGCCATTGCCTATTCCTTCTTCCAGAGGTTCCTTGTCATTTTCTTCGATGTAGATTGGCACGATGCCAACAATACTGGTGAGTACCTAGTGGGAACTTCATTGTGCGAATTCTTTCCCCTTTGGCAATCTTTTGTCACAGATCATTGGGTTATTCGGGTTCTATCAGGCAGACTTGTCCTACAATTCCCTTCCCCACCTCCTTTGTCACAGATACCCATTTCCTTCCTTCTTGGGATCCAATTACCAGCCAGCATCTTTCAGAGGTAGTTCAAGACTTTCTGTCTCAACAGTCCATCGAACCTGTGAATCATCTTTCTCCCAGTTTTTATTCCAGGCTGTTTGTTGTTCCCAAGAAAACCAGAGGCTGACAGCCTGTCATAGATTTGTCCCACCTCAATCAGTTTCTCAGTCTTCCCCATTTTACCATAGAAAAGTTTCTCAGGTGTGTTTTTTCTCCAGGTTTATGGATGACCAAGATGGATGTCATGAATGCTTACTTACATATCCCGATAGCTCAGCACTCATGACCATATCTTCGGTTTGTCTATCGAGAGGTTGGTTATCAGTTTCGTGTGTACTACCCTTTGTGCTTGCTTTGGCCTTGTATGTTTTTTGTCAGGTGGTTCGAGTTTTTGCTCATCATGTCCATACTCTCGGCATGTGTTTTCATTATTATATGGACAACTGGCTGCTGTTAGCTTGTTCCAAACAGGAGTCTGCCTGTCATACTCTTCAGGTGCTCCAGAAGGTGGCCAATTAATCAATTTGGAGAAGTATTTTCTTCAATTTACCCAATATATGATCCATTTGGGTGTTTTTTTCAACACCTATCTCAGTCAGGCACAACCTTCTCCTCTTCAAATTTGTTCAATGGAGCTTTCAGTTCACCACGTTCTAACAGCTCGTGAGGTTCTATCGCTTTTGGGGATGTGGTCTTCCATTGCCACAGTTATCTCCTTAGGTCGTGCTCATAGGCAAGCTCTTCAGTGGGTTCTTCATGACCAGTGGAATCTTGCACAGGATCCTTTGCAGGCTGTTATTACCCTTCCTCCTACCATAGTCGACAATCTGCATTGGTGGTTGGATAACACCCACATGTCAGCGGGTGTTCCACTTCCTCCTCCTCATCTCGATTTACATATTTTCATGAATGCTTCCCTCCAGGGATAGGGGGGCATGGGTCGATCAACAGGGGGCTTCAAGGTATTGATTTGCAGCTGAGAAGTCTTATCATATCAACAATCTGAAGCTTCTTAGCTGTACGTCAGGCCTTGGATCATTTCCTCCATCTGGCCAGACATCATCTGGTAATTATTCATACCAACAATTCCACAGTGGTTGCTGATGTCAATCAACAATGTGGAGCCCATTCTCGATTCATATGTTTTCATACGTTGGATCTTATTTTCTGGGGCCACACACAAGATATCCATATCATTGCATGTCATGTTCTGGGTGCTTTCAATCTTGTCGTGGATCATCTTTCCTGTCCAGACAAAATCTATCCGACAAAGTGGTGTCTCGATCCTCATGTTTTCTGGTGGCTTTGCCTTCAGTTGAGTACTCCTCACATCAATGTTTTTGCCACATCTCTCAACCACAAACTATCTTTGTTTTGGTCTCTGGTCCCTCAACATTTTGCCCTGGCTGTCGATGCTTTTAATCAGGATTGGACCAACAAATACCTATATGTTTATCCTCCCATTTGACTTCTTAAACGGGTGATTTCAATCATCCATACCACTCTGTGTCAAGTTCTTCTGATTGCTCCTTACTGGCTGGCTCAACTGTGGTTTCCGTGACTTATCCAGCTACAACTTATGCCTCTGGTGCCTCTTACTCTGTCTCCCTCCCTTATTTGGCAACATCAGTCATCGGTGCTTCATCCCGCTAATCCTGTCCTCTGTCTTCATGCCTGGCTTTTATCTGGTCCTTGGCAAGGAAATCAGGCTTGTCCTAACATGTAGCTTCATTTCTGGCCCATTCCATTTGCCCTTCCTCCATGGAAGTGCAACTCCTCCTTTTTGCTGATTTCCCTTGCTTCCATTTCCCATTTTTATCCTCAACCTGATCCAAATAAACTTCTATATTCTATGGCAACCATCCTCTGTTTGTGGTCTTTCTCCCTCCACCTTTACCAGTTTGGTTCAGATTTTGATTCAATTGGCTTATGCCTCTCTTTTGTTTTTCTCCTGTACTTTGTTCCAGGTGTATTATCATCAAATTTTACACCTTATCTTTACTCAGTCATCTCACCTTCGTCATCTGCTGGAGGATCTTCTTCAATCGGGCATGTGGACTACTCCTAATACATTTGTCGTTCACTACTTGCATAGGATTGCAGTTTCTTTCTCTTCGGGCTGTCAGCATCCACCTGTAGCCATTCTTCAGACTTCCGTGACTGGGTAAGCTGTTTTTTATTCTTCTTTAATTTGTTTAAGGATCTTATTTCCTTTTTGATGGTAATTACTCATTGTTTGGATTCTGCTCTGTGGTGAGTGTTGCCTGACCAGGTATTCTTTAACCTTTAAAATCTGTACTGTTCAGCCATGTCAACTTGCTTATTATATTCTATGGCCACACAATGCATAATGTTGAGATGGGGTATTCCACAAGATCGTTTGAAGGTTATCCTCATGATGGAATTGCTTCATAAATATGCCCGTCCCAGACCATACCACCCATGGACTACATGGGTAAAGCAGAAGGGGATAGCTGTCCATCCGTGCCATGCCTTGTATTGAATAAATTGGTAGGGTTTGCTTTTCAAAATAGGGTTTCATGGTCACCCATTGCACTGGCTCAGATGTTGATGTTTTTCTGGACTCTCCATCATGTTTCACCCCTATTTTCTTCTAGTGGAGTTTGGGAGTCCTTACCACTTTCCAGTTACAAACCACTGGGATGGTAGACTGTGAAAGCATCCTCCTGAATGATTTAATGAACTAAAAAATCAATACAGAAATATCATTTAGTGCAGAGTAGGGCAGTAGTGTTCTGCTGGTGTAGATGAAGCGATACTCTCCACTATAAAGCATATACAAAAACCAAAGGATTGAGATGTCAAATTGCAGTTCACCCTTTAGATTGGGATCCCTCAACCTATCCCCACGTGGATGTCAGTTCCCAGTGGCCAGGTTTTGGATTTAGAGTAGAACCAGTCAACATAAGTCCTCACACATGTATTACAGATGTCTATCTTCCTCCCTCAACTATATTCTATGTGTGTTGTGGGTCATAGTGGATCCACTTGGGATTGTTATGGTTCTTTCCCTTCTACTCTCCCTTGCTGTACCTTATTCCAAGTATGTTATTGCACCTAGGTTGGTTCAGGTCAGTTTCACTGTTGAGGGAGTAGATTTCTCTATGGTAGACATCTTTTCGATACCAGATGTCTGTTTCCTAGATCGATGTATCATTTTCTAGTCTTAACATGTGCCGTGTTTGAAGTCAGGTGTCATTGAGATCCCCTCCGGTCTCTTGAACTTGAGGTGAAGATGATATGATCCTTATCCTATCCCCGCATGAATGTCGGTTCCCAGTGGTGTGGGTTTTGGATGTAGTTGACTTGCCGAGTGCGGTCCGTCAAACCCTAGCCATACTGTACCTGGGGGCACTTCATTGTTTTTTTTCCCACACCTCTTGGATGTGCTGCTTTTTTTTACTGCCCATATATATCACACCTTTCTCTGATTGGCAAAGAGTATACCTGGTTCAGACATGGTTCGGTCAAGGTGTGTCTTTTGGATGCTTTTTGGATTCTTTTCTTCCCTCGCACTAGTCCCTCCACCTATTCAATCTGGGATTTAGCTATTTATGTGAGTGGAAGTAATGTACCATATTGGAAGTTATAATTTTCCTATATTGAAAATGTATTTCCGATAGGTACTTACCTCCTCTTAAACTTCCCACCCTTCCTCCCCACTGAAAACCGATCCTTCCATTTCCTGCCAAAACTCGAAGTAATAATCTGGTAGAATTGAATAGTAGGAGTCACATGCGTAACGAGAGTGCATGGCACTCTCATTGGTGGAGAGTTGTTGCATGATGATTTGCATGAGAGACACATTGAAATGAGTCTTTTCCAATGAAGGGGAAACAAAAGGCTTGTGGCATGCATGAAAAAAAGTGCATATAGAGGGTAGCACTGAACGAGAATAGCTATTTATGTGAGAAGATGTATTTGCATATAGAGGGCAGCACTGAACGAGAATTGCTATTTATGTGAGAAGAGGTATCGGAAATACATTTTTCTGTATAGGAAAATTATAAATTCTCCTTTAAATAATACATCTCTTTCTTTTAATACCTCTCTTAGTTGGTCTTCCTATGAATTTCTGCCTCCCTCTTGTTTCATCTTTTAATTTTCTGTCCCTTTTCTTCTTGACCTTCTTTTAACTGTTTTATCATTATAAAATTGAAGTTAAGTAAAAGTTTTGTTTTATTATCACCAAAATAATCCCACTTTTGACAGTAGTGTCATAACATGTTCTATTGTTGGTTGGGTTCTTTTGGATTATTTAGTAAAAATAATGGCAAGTCCAGTCCAACTAACAATAACAGACTTACTTATTTCTTCAATACACATTTGCTACAGTTACATTCACTTTTCTTAAATACATTTTTCACAATAAACTCTGCAACTAAATCTAGGCTTAACAACAAATATGACATGTTAATATAAACTGAAAGACATTCATAGCAAAAGTAAACAGTCAGTAAACAACACTAACTCACTGAGTAACTTATTAACAGAAAAAACATGATAACTCTTACTTGTAACCCTGAATATGTTTTCTTATATTGAATTGAATCAATCATTCAGTACTCATATTTATATCACACCCACGTTTCCAATTATTAGACAAGATTCTTGATTTCCAACCTTTGTGTGCGCCCGGCATGGCCAGGTGGATAAGGCGCTCGACTCACAATCTGAGGGTCGCGGGTTCGAATCCGCATCCCACCAAACATGCTCGCCCTTTCAGCCGTGGGGGCGTTATAATATGACGGTCAATCCCACTATTCGTTGGTAAAAG